AGATCAAGCTCACTGGTCTGATAAGGACTAGTAGAACCCCCAAGACTATGGGCTTTAGATATCTTTCAAGTGTGGAATTGAACTCACCACTGTGGCTTACCTTACAGCCAAACAGTAGGCCTATAAGGTAAACAATAACACTAGGCAGGTATGCTTTCCTTAGAACCATCAACCAAAGGAGATCAAAAGGGCAGCATATGGCCAGGGATAAAATTCAGAAGCCAGAGGGATAGGAAAGAAGGATGAATGGAAATGGGAAACAAGGGGTGAAGTGGGATGAGTGCTGTTATATTGTGGAATGGAAAGCCAGTTTGCTTTGTGAACTTTCACCCAAATCACAATTAAAAAATTTAACAGAAGACTGGTGATATTTAAGAACTCATTAGAAATACTATAGATGAAAGTTATGGAAATTAAATATTTTGTTGAAACCTCATAAATGGACAGATCTTAGACTGGACATAATCAGAGAAAAATTCTGAATCAAAATTTAGTATTGAGGGATTTACATAATACACAGCCCAATGAGATAAAGGGGTAAAAATGATTAAAGAGTTACTATTTGACATAGCCCCACCAGCCACTCCTCGGAAGGAAGATTGGGCAATCTACTTCCATAGTGATCCTGCCTCGGAGACCCAAGGAGGGGTCACTATGAGTCGGATCTGACTCGTTGGCACATAACAATAACATTCGACATAGCAGTTAGCTTGAGAAACTGCAGTGTATGTATGTGCCGTCGAGTGTATGTATGTGCCCAGAGAAAAATAATGGAGGTAATTGCAGATAAGCAATAACTGTCAGAACAATAGCTGAGAATTTATCAGTATAGCCAGTCTCTGGATTATGAACATCGATATATGTACAACCATAATAATTATTATGTAAAGCTTATTATATTCATAACTCAAGGTACATACAATGTTTCATTATAACAAACAGATGCTACTTTGCGACACACATCAAAACATTATTACTGTATTATTATGTTAAAGGGAGCTCTGGTAGCATAGTGGTTAAGACACTTGCCTGCTAACGAGACAGCTGGTGGTTCAAACCCCCCAGCCACTCCTCGGAAGGAAGGTTGGGCAATCCTACTTCCGTAGTGATACTGCCTCGGAAACCCAAGGAGGGGTTGCTATGAGTCGGGTTTGACTCGATGGCACATAACAACAACAACAATTATGTTAAAATGTTTTGGTGTATCAGGGAAGTGTTTCTTTAATATTTTTTTGGCATAGAAAAATAAATTATACTCCATATACTAAGACAAACATTTAACTGTCATTAGATACAAACCGTACCTGTTTTGATTCATGTGCAAATTCAATTTAAAGAGAAAGGAACAGAACTCATCCATAATCTGGGGACTGCCGTATTGGAAGAAGACATGAGTTCTTACCTGGAAGCATAGCCATTAAAATCACTACAACATAGTCACCAAAAAAGCAGAAAATTGAGGATTTAAAAAAATAATAAGAAGAAGATTACCAGAAAGAAAAGACACTAACTGCAAAGGATTCTCAACTAGACTGACAGCATACTTCTAATCTCAACAAAATAGCCAGAAGATATTAGAATAAATATCTTAACAGTACTGAGTGAAAATGCTAACTAGAATTTTATAGCCATTTAAAGTATCCAAATATAAGGGCAAAACACAGACATTTTCAAACATACAAATTAAACCACTATTTTCATCTACAATTCCCTATGAAACTAATAAAATGTATACTTTAACAATAATAACAGTAGGGCAAGTGGACTAATAGTTAATACAAGGAACAGAGAAATTAATTTGGCTATAAAAGTAAAAAATAACTTTTAAAGCACAAATTTTTTTTAGTTAAAAGGATAAAACTAAATCTTGAACAATAATATGATAGGAGATTTGATAGTTAAAGTTTGCTAAAATATGTGTCATCTTTGAAGGAGGCAAGAATTATAGATTATTTAGACTTTGTAAGAAAAATGTATAGTTATGAAAATATTTTTAAAAATTTAATGGAGTTCCCTAAGAGAATAGAAATACATTGTATAGTGTCTAAATCAGAAGATATAAAAAGGAGCAAGAAAAAACTATCTAAATAAGAAAAGCATAAAAGGAGTGAGACACTAAGCAAAGGATGATAAACAAAAACAAAAAGATTGTAAAAATAATCCAAACATATCAAAATCACAATAAATGTAAGTGGATTATTACCATCAGCTAAAAATTGTTTACTGTACAGGATATGAGACACATTTAATTTTTAAAAAAGTGATTTTTAAAGTAAAGTATCTGAAATGGTCAATATTCCATAGGAAATGGAAATTAAAACAATGAGAAATCACTTTATACTCATCAAATTTTAAGAAGTAAAATGTCTATACTGTGTTAGTAAGACTGTGGAGCAAATGGAAGTCTAACATGCAGCTGATGGGGATGTAAATTTGTGTAAGCCCTGTGGAGAACAATTTAGCAATTTCTGGTAACATTATAGACATACAGAATATTCTACTCAGCAACTCTAATTTTAGATAAATGTTCTAGAAAAACATGCAGACTTGTAAAAGGATATATTTAAAACAATGTTTGAAGTTGCCTTATTATTACTATTTTTTATTATGATTTGGGTGAAGATTTAGAGCAAATTCACTTTCCATGCAGCAGTTCACATACACTTTGTCTCATGATGTTGACCACAGTTTACCACAATGCAACAGCTCCCCTC